TGAGGACGTGCTAGGACCACCCAAGCAAGAAGAAAGATGTAATTTCAGGCGAAAAGGAATACATATAAGACCACTATGACTCTGTTGTTCTTCGACCTTGGTTTCAATGATGAAGAAAAATTTTCTCTCATTTTCCCATTTGACCAACCCTCCATTATTCTTTTTTTTAATTGTCCAAAAAGGTTGTGCAACTTAACTTTTTAATTAATAAAGGAAAAATGTATTACTCAACCAATACGTTTTATATCATATATTTTACACCGTTATTTCTTTTGTAACTCATTATAATTTATACGACATTTGAAAAATATTTCGTAAAGTATTAAAAACTCGTAATCACTTGAACTTTCATCTCATACCATCAAGTTCACTAAAATACTAAAACAAAAATTATGATATTTTGTATATATGACGAAGTAAATAATAAACTTAATTAATATAATAAACTCAAAATTTCAATACAAGTACAGTTTTTCAAGTGTAAATACATTTATTTATATGTTATGTAATAAATTTACTTAAATCCCTTTAATTTGCTTAAGCCCCTACCTAGGCCCATCTAGTCGCATAGGCATTAAGCTCCAACCCGCCGACCAACTAGTGCCTAACATACCTTACTTAGGACCACCTGATGTTAGAATTCTAGATCCGCCATTGGTTAGAGAGACTATTTATTTAAACTAGATGAGGTGGTTGTTAATGATTGAATTATTACTTAAGCGCTAATTAACATGATTATTTCTTATTGGTGATACATCACATAGTTTGCAAAATTAGTTAAAAAATTGGTCAACCTAGCATTGCTTTTGATAATTATCACTTTAAGAGTTATTAAAAACAAGAAGAAAAAAAAAAGGTCAATTAAATCTTTTAAATTTAAACCCTGAATTATTTTTTAAGTAAAATAAGTCCCTAAATTCATTAAAAATTGCTAATTTCATCCTTACTATTATATTCAAAGCTATTTTATCCAGTTTTTCATCAGCTTAAGTCACTTAACACATTTTAGAGCGTAGATGTCATTTTGTCGCCTATAAACCCTTAACATTACATATAGGTTGCAAATCTAATGTCTAATTTACCCTCCAAAGTTAACTCGATACACTATTTCTTTATGAAAAATTACCAATCTACCCTCTAATATGTATCACATGCAAGTAACTCCTGACTTAAATTAACGGAAAATTAAAATTAGTAGTTTCGAATCTAATATTAGGGATGTAATTGATAGATTTTTATAATTCAATGATTGATTTTTCTGAAAAAAATAATTTAAGGACCTAATTTTCATTCAGTAATAATTCAAAGACTAAATTGACAATTTACCTATATATTTATACATAAATCCAGAATTGCAAGTAGCTTCGATGATGGTCTCTTTCATTCACACACTCATAAACTGAATTTTCTAATTCAGAATTCTGTGTTGATTTAGTTGCGAGTCGATGAATGGTCACAGTTAACCCACGTCAACATTTTATATACGATGGACACGGGAGAAAGCCACCGTATCCCGTATCTGACATGCTGAGGATACGAATACAGGGAGGATATGCGTGGATACGCGCCCGATATGTATCGGAGTGAAGGGATACGTTTAGAATTGATGAGATATGCGTATCGTATTATCCAGATACAAGTATCCTACTTTTCGGATACGTTTGAAACTAAAATAAGAGGATAATCAGAAGAAGAAAAAAATAAAAAATAATCATAATAAATCTGCACAGAATCGTGATTGATTGAACTTAGCTAACTGAAATCACTCTAAAATCAAGGATAATCAGAAAAAAAATAAAATTCGGATTTACATCTCGAACCTCAGAAATCACTCTGCTTGGGAGACTTTCACAAATACCATTGATCGTCATCTGCAATTGTTCTGTCGTCTCCGTCTGCAATTGCGCCGTTGTCTTCATCTTCTCCGTCTACAACTGCTCCATCATCTCCTTCGTCTCCGTCTACAACTCCTGATGAGTGGTGAGCTTTCGTTTTCACTTTGTTAATAGTTTTGAATCCGATGCTTTCCTGATCTTACTCCTCAGCTTTACTGATTCAATCCATTCAAAGCCTTAATTTGATTCACCGAGGACAAGTCACAAAACCCATCTCTGAAACTGAAACTGAAACCCATCTCTGAAACTGAAATTAAAAGTTTAATCTGATTAAGGCCTAGTTTGGTACTAAGGTGATTCTGAAAAAAGTTGGTATAAAAAAAAGCTGGGAGTTGTTTTTGTGTTTGGTAAACATTCAGTTTCAGCTTTTTTTCATAGTTTTGGGTGAAAAAAAGCCAAAAACAAGAAGTTGCAAAACCCAGCTTTCAAAAACCAGCTTTTTTTCACATCTGTTTTACATAAAAATTTACTAAACACTATAATACTATTTTTTTTTTCAATACAAAAAAGTTTACCAAACACTCTGCTGCTTTATTTCACAGCTGCTTATTCTCACAGTACAGCAGAAGTAACTTTTTTCTCAAAGCACAACAATACCAAATCAGCCATAAGAAGCCTTTTACTTTTATGAAACTTGAAACTAATATTATTATATCCATACCACTACCCACAATAATATATTATAATACCCATTCCACTACCCCATAGTCCATTCGAATATGATGAAGCTTTTGCTTTTCTGTTTTTAACTTTTTGTATTATTATTATTGTATTTTTTATATTATAATATATTATTGTGTAGTGGTATGGATATATTTATTTATACATATTTTTAATAGCCGTATACCTGAAATATCGTGTTCTCGTTTTTAGAAATTTGATGTATCCCCATCTTGTCGTATCCCCGTATTTGTATCCTTGTCAATGCATTATATTAGTTTTTTTTATAGAAAAAGAATGATAAAATAAAAAATGTGAGAGAAGGAGATAAAAGAGGATAGAAAAAGGAAAAGAGAGCATCCTAGTCCAACGCAGATTGTTTGTCGACATCAATTGTATCAGGTCTGGCCATGGCGGTCGCTATAGCATTTAGCATTACAGCATACATGATGCAACCCAAAACCCATAGCACCTACCTACTCCTACTCCACTTGATTGGTAAGTGAAGCTTTGAATTTCCCTTTTATATTCGTTGATCATGATTCCAACCGATGTTTTTTCTAGTTCTTGCATATTAATAGTCAGTTTATGTAGATAATAGAACATAATCTTTAGTATGAAAAAACATTTGAACTGCTTTGAAAACTCAAAAACATTTTCTCTAAAAACGTTTTCCGTCATTTTAAATATTCATTGATCATGATTCCAACCGATGTTTTTTCTAGTTCTTGCATATTAATAGTAAGTTTATGTAGATAATAGAACATAATCTTTAGTATGGAAAAACACTTGAACTGCTTTGGAAACCCAAAAACATTTTCTCTAAAAACGTTTTCTGTCATTTTAAATATTCTTTCAAACAAGCCCTAATTTAAAATTTAAACCTCCACTTAATCAACATGAAACGCCCAAAATGAAAAGATAATTAAACCTCCACTCAATCCGCATAACCACTGTCACATCCCGGCCCGGGGAGGACCACTTCCCGGACTCACTCCACCACTGTAGCACGATATTGTCCACTTTGGGCTTACCATTCCCTCACGGTTTTGTTTTTGGGAACTCACGAGCAACCTCCCAGTGGGTCACCTATCATGGGATTGCTCTAGCCCCCTTCTCACTTAACTTCGGAGTTCCCATGGAACCCAAAGCCAGTGAGCTCCCAAAAGGCCTTGTGCTAGGTAAGGATGAGAATATACATTTAAGGATCACTCCCCTGGACGATATGGGATATCACAACCACAAGTTTGGTAATGAGTCTCTTTTTATTATGATTGGCACATGTAATCTATAAATATGCAGATACTGACAATTTTTTAGGAAAAAATAATGATAGAAAAGCTAATTTTAAACATTTTTATTCACAAGTCAAAACCAACTCTAATATATACAAATATATATATATATATATATATATATATTAATCTTACTAGATTTTATTGACAAAGAAATGTTAAGACTTATTACCAAACTTGTGGTTATAGAATATGGACAAACAAGTCAATTGTCTAATTTGAATACCAATCAATTGATCACATTAAAAATTAATCAATTATTGGGTGGCAATTGAATATGTGCAAGTTATATATTTAACTTGTGTGCTACAATAAATGAAGAAAGACTTTATAATTATATTTTAAGTAAAATATTTATAATTACACTTTAAGTCAATAATGTGATCACGATCATACTTAATCTGCACTGAATCCGATAATTATTTGGTTTGTTAGGCAGACAAATACAAAAATGATCATGATAACATATTCATCGATCATGATTCCAACCGATGTTTTTTTATAGTTGTTGAATATGAATAGTCAGTTCATGTAGGTAATAGAATGAGACTACATGTGACAACTAGTTCAAAATGTAAACCACTACTTAATCCACATGAAATAACAATAATAAAGCCTTATTCCATTAAATAGAATCGACTGTTTGAATCTTAGAACATCATTACGCTTAATTTTATTCACATGAAAGATGCCATGCATCATACTGTATTAGTGTGAAAAAAGGTTCTTGAAAACAAGTTTGGAGTGTTGGTGGAAGGGCAAATAATCTATAAATATGCAGATAGTGACAATTTTTTAGGGAAAAATCATATTAGATAAGCTCATTTTATACATTATTATTCACAAATATATATATATATATATATATTGAACATATTCACAAATATATTAACCAAAGATGTTAGACTTATTACTAAACTTGTGGTTATGGACAAACAAGTCAGTTGCCTAATTAATTTGATCACATTAAAATTGATCAATTATTGATTGACACTTGATTGTGTGCAAGCTATATATCTAATTTGTGTGTTACAACGTAAGCGGACAACGATTTTATACTTATACAATTAGGTAAAATATTGATGAATAAACACTAAATATAATTGAGTAGAGCTAACAACGAGTGGCCTTGTTACAACCTCACTCCAAAGGTTTTGTTTATTAGTTGGGGAGGGGGATCCATAAAAATTCATTATGAAACGTTGACAAATAGAAAATTGTACAGGCTAACTTAAGCATCTTGGTTGAAAATCTCTCATGCATTATTATGTGATATTTTAAGAACTTGCTTTGCACATTTGCACTCCATAGTCTTATGATGAAATTGATCACAGCTTATCTGGATCAAATTATGTTTCTAATTGACGAAACGCCCTATTTTCCTTTTTTCACTTCTCTCCTTGTCTGCATCCTGGTGATTTTTTGGAAGCAATCCAGAGCCGGAGGCCTAAAGTCACCCCCTGGGCCATGGAAGCTGCCTGTTATTGGAAACTTGCATCAAATGATCGGTCGGCTGCCACACCACACACTGAGAGATTTAGCCAAGAAACATGGACCCATCATGTACCTTAAACTCGGTCAATTAGACGCCGTGATTATTTCATCTGCCAAAGGTGCCCGGGAGGTCTTGAAGACACATGAGCTTACATTTGCGCAGAGGCCTAAGGTTTGGGCTGCAGAGGTTATATCTTTTGGTCAATCAAGTTCTATCTTTGCTCCTTATGGAGATTTATGGAGATCACTGAGAAAGATTTGTGTTTTCGAGCTACTGAGTGCGACACGTGTGCAGTCTTTCAGATCCGTAAGAGAAGAAGAGGTATGGAATCTTATTGAGTCCATTGGCTCAATGTCTCATGAGGGGCTTGCCATCAATTTTAGGGACAGGTGCTGCAGCTTCACAAGTGGCGTAGTGTCGAAGGCAGCATTTGGGAAAAAATGCAAAGACCAAAAGGAGTTCCTTTCGCTACTAGACGAAGTAAACAAACTTGCTAGTGGGTTTGATATTCCTGATTTGTTTCCTTCACTCAGTTTTCTTGGTTTCATTACTGGGTCGATCCCTGCTCTCAAAGACATACAAAGCAAGCTCAATACGATTCTCGAACGTATCATCAACGATCATAAAATCAAAAGCAATGACAAAGCGCTGAAGGAGGAGGAAAATTTTGTTGACGTACTTCTAAAACTTAAAGAGTCCAACAAGGTGGAGTTCAATTTCACAACTAATCATATCAAAGATATGATTATGGTGAGTAATGTAGGCTTGCTTTGTTGTACTGCAGACATTTTATCTTCGTCGTCACTCATCATTTTATAAAAACATACGAAAGGGTTCTATCACAAATGGTTGCTCATGTTTTCGAAACTCATGATTTTGGTTTCGCAAATTGAAAATCAATTATTATCATGCTGCACATTTTGTCCCACACATCAATGTCATTCTTACGGTCTAACTTAGTGAAAAAAAAATTGTTATGTGCAGGACATGTTCTCTGCAGGAAGCGAGACTTCAGCTACTACCTTAGAATGGGCAATGTCAGAGTTGATGAGAAGCCCAAGAATCATGAGGAGGGCTCAAGCTGAAGTGAGACAGTTAGTCCTCCAATCGGAAGGAAAGAAAAACAAAGTTATTGAAGAAAGAGATGTTCAAAAAATGGACTACTTGAAATCGGTGGTAAAAGAAACTCTGAGGTTACACTCTCCAGCTCCTTTGCTCCCAAGAGAAGCAAGGGACACGGTTCAAATTGGCGGATTCAAAGTACAAGTTAAATCAAAAGTAATTATTAATGCATGGGCAATAGGAAGAGACCCAGAGATATGGGGGGCAGATGCTGAGTGTTTTAAGCCAGAGAGATTTCATGGTTCTTCTGTTGACTTTAAGGGTTTTGACTTTGAGTTCACTCCATTTGGGGCCGGCAGAAGAATGTGTCCAGGCATGTCATTTGGTGTTACCATGGTTGAACTTGCTCTTGCTGAATTGCTCTACCACTTCGATTGGAAACTAGCGAATGGGATGAATCCTGACGAACTTGACATGACGGAGAGCTTTGGAGGGGTCTGTAAGAGAGAGAATACGTTGTACCTAATTGCCACCCCACATTTTACTTCAGTCGATGAGTCAGAGTGACTCGACATTTTGTTGCCATTAATGGCCAACAAAACCAACACCATTAACAAGCTAAAACATGTTTTCAGTCCCATCAGTCTCCACAAGGTTCTACTCTCTTCCTATATTTTCAATTGCAACGATTTTCATTCCTGCAGTTTGCAGATTGTTTGAATCTAATGCTTCTTTTCATTTAGTAATTGCATAATAAGGCATGATTAATGCAGTGTTGAGTGGTGTCGGCTCTAGGACATAGTAGGATAAAACTTTGTTGTTGTTTGTCATTCCTAAGATGTAAACTTGTTATTCAGATATGTACAGATATATGTACTTGTATATGTTCTTTTGGTGAATGCTACTTTGTACGTTGATGACACACCATCTTTTTATTGGCTATATTGCTCACTTTTCAGAGCCTCGGGCTAAGTTTGGGAAATGAATTTTTTCCCAAACTACTGAGACCAAGATGTCTTTCTAATATTCAATTTTTCGGAAGTTCCAAAATCCCCCTCCATATTACTACTCTACTGCTACTCTTCTTCTAAAATTTGTTGTCCATAACGATTGCCCGAGACGATGAATAAGACATGCATTTGGTTTGAGTGCGATCGGTGTCGGCGCCAGGAACCATAGGCCAAAGCCGGCTCGGCCTCAAGATTTTACACATTAACAATGTTAAAGCTATCGGTCGATGATGCGATCACGATCGTACTCAAATCTTGACTAAATCTGCTAATTATTCGGTTAATTAGTCAAATAAATAGAAAAATGATCACGTTAAACTTAAGTACTCCATTAAAAATAGTTTAAAGATTATGGGAATCCAATGGATAATATTTTAATTATTCAAAATATGTGCTGAATTTGGACTTGTTATTCATAATATATATGAATAAATATTCATCAATAAGCGCTAGTCTGACAATTTGGTTGGTTTCACTCTCGAATAGTATAAACTCAATCAACTGTTAAACAGTCAGGTCTTGTTTGATTTTAACTAATATGAGACATTATACCTCCACTTGTGTAATATGAAAACTTGTGTCTTTAAGTTTTCTAAACTGAATTTGATACCAAGAAACACTTGATTAGGATAGCCTAATCAAGTGAGTGATTAAACACTGTTACAAACGAACATGCTCAAGTTTACAGTGACACATCTCTACTCAAATTTACCTCTTTTATTAGAGTGGTTAATTAATAATTGGGTAATGCTAGAGAGACTATCTCTTTAAATCATATTTTGTAAATTAGATGACGTGGTTGTTGATGATTGAATTAGTATTTAAGTGTTGATTAACGTGATTATTTTCTATTGATGATTCGTCATATAATTTATAAAATTAGTCAACCTAACATTACTCTTAATAATTATCAGTTGAAGAGTTATTAGAAAAAGAAAAAAAAGGGTCTTCAAATCAATTATTTAAATATAAACCCGGAAAAAGGAAGCCCAATGGCCCAATAGACTAGTTTAGAAAACTCAAGGCCCAATATAAGGGGAAGCAAGAATTTGAATTTCCCAAATTCGTACATATTTCTGTTGTTTTGTTTATGATGGCGGTGGCATCTCTCTATGAGCTTCATCAGTCTCAAGCTCATCGTCATCCTTCTTCCATGGGGATTTGGGTTCGCCACAGACATTTCCTTGACAATTCTAATTGCAAGCAAGAAAGGAGCTAGGAGTGCTAGCAAGGCTCGCCGTCGAGATTTCCAATGACCGGGCCGCTGAGGCTGACTTCATGAACGACAGCGTGGCACCAGGGTACGAGGTATTATACATACATACATATATATATATATGTATGTATATGTATATGTATATAAAGAGGTGCGATTAGATAAATTAAGAATTGGAAATAGCTTTGCTGATGGTAAGAATAGGGGACAGTTTGAAACTATTACAATAATTGAAGGAATGAGAAAATTTCGAACATGAACGAACGACAAAAGTAGAAATTCAGCACTTTATCCACTAGGATATTATACCATATGCAGTGATGGTCTCATTCATGCATTGACATTTGACACTCATATGCTGAATTTGATAAACCAACAAATGGAAAAATGAGTAAGCTTCCCTAAGTAGTTTGGTGCTACTTCGAGTCACATATCAAAGAATGGTTAATCTGATGCTAATTTCTGATCATATGTTAGTTAATGACCTAAAAAATGTTAGAGAATCACTAATCAATGCAACTTAACTTAAGCAATCAAATGATCGGAACAGTTCATTAATCGCAGTGTAAGGTAGGTTAAGGGTTGCAAATAGCTTTGATGGTGTACTCCAGATACATATAGGTCAAGAATTGCAGGTAGCTTTGCATAAACTCATAAACTGAATTTTCTAAATCAGAATCTGTGTTGATTAGTTGCGAGTCGACTATATTCTACTCTTAATTGTAACTAATTTTTCTACTTGGTATGTTGAGAATCCCTTTAGATGTACTCTCTTGCAATTTGCAACCGGGAATTATGGTATTGTTAGCTCCAACACCTTTCTGTTGGCCTTTCTTTGCTCACCTCACTCGTTCTTGTAACTCGGTTCTGCATCTGTTATGTCACAAGCTTCTGCAAACTCCAACATCATAGGACATGGGGCTATGACGGTTAGCGTTATTGAGTATGTATGATGTACCTACCCAAAGCCAAATACTGAGCAGCTATGCCAAAATGCAGATTGTTTGTCGACGACAATTGTCTCAGGTCTGGTGATGGCGGTCACTATAGCATTTAGCATTACAGCGGGCCCATGGCACCTACCTACTCCTACTCCAATTGATTGGTAAGTGAATCTTTGAATTTCCCTATCTTTTCCCCAACATCATATTCATTGATCATGATTCAAACCGATGTTTTTTCTAGTTCATGCATATGAATAGTCATTTTATGTAGATAATTGAATGAAACTACATGTGACAGTTAGAAACTTGTTTGGAATTACTTTTAAAATGATTGAAAAAGCTTTTGATGACAATGTTTTTGAAACCAATCCTTAGTAAAATGTGGAAAAACACTTGAATTGTTTTTAGAACCCAAAAATATTTCTCTAAAAACGTGTTCATTCATTTTAAAAGCGTTTCTAAAGAAACCTCACTTCAAATTTAATCCTCCACTTAATCAACATGAAAGGCCCACAAAGAAAAGAAAGAAATCTTGTCTCTTTTTTTAATTTTTATGATAGGCACATGTAATCTATAAATATGCTTATACTGACAATTTTTTAGGAAAAATATCATGTAAGCTCCATTTGTACATTATTATTAGCAAAGTCAAAACCAACTCTAAAATTATATATTTATTATTCTTACTAAACTATATTAACAAAAAAATGTTAGACTTATTACCAAATTTGAATACCAATCAATTGATCACATTAAAATTGATCAATATATAATTGGGTGACACTTGAATATGTGCAAGATATATATTTAATTTGTGTGTTACAACGTAAGCGGAGAAAGACTGTATAATGGTACTTTAGGTAAAATATTGATGAATAAAACACTTTAATATAGTTTTTTTTTTAAAGGGGATCAATTGGTGGCTTCGTCATGGCAGTCTGCCTTTTTGGGAATCGGGAAAGCTTATAGAGGCATTTTAACCTCCCCCTAGCCACCATCGTGTGATTCACTAGCACCAGAAATCAATCCCAGAACGTACCGTGCGTAATATGAGCCAATAATTCATTTCCAACCACTAGGCCTATAATTTATCCCTAAATACTTTAATATATTTGAATAGAGTAACAGAGAGTAGCGATGTTACAATCTCACTCAAAAAAAAAAAAAATTAGTTGGGGAGGGGGTTCTAGAATTTGTATCTCATCCAAAATTGGGACTAGTTTCATGTTGATAATTTAAGCATCCAGCTAGAACACATGCATCTTGTTTGGAAAATGTATCCAGCATTATTGTGGAATATTTTATGAACTTGCTTTGCGCATTGCACTCCAAATGCATTTATTTTATTTTGTTGTTCCACAGTTGCACTCCGCAGGATTATTTTTATTTTTTATTTTTTTTTTATTATTTTTATTTTTATGTTCCAATAAAAAAAAGTATTTAAGTAGAGAAGATCTTAAGCACTTTCATTATATCGATCCAAATTTAAGAGCTTTGATTTGCAAGTAAAATACCCCAAAATCTTATGATGAAAGTGATCAAAGCTTATCTGAATCAAATTATGTTTCTAATTGTCGAAACGCCCTATTTTTCTTTTTTCACTTCTCTCCTTCTATGCATCCTGGTGATTTTTTGGAAGCGATCCAGAGCCAGAGGCCTGAAGTTACCCCCAGGGCCATGGAAGCTGCCGATTATTGGAAACTTGCATCAAATGGTCGGTCCACTGCCACACCACACATTGAGAGACTTGGCCAAGAAACATGGACCCATCATGCACCTTAAACTGGGTCAATTAGAGGCCGTGATTATTTCATCTGCCAAAGCTGCCCGGGAGGTGTTGAAGACACATGAGCTTGCATTTGCGCAGAGGCCTATTGTTCTGGCGGCAGAGGTTATGTCTTTTGGTCAAGGAGGTATTATCTTTGCTCCTTATGGAGATTTATGGAGATCGCTGAGAAAGATTTGCATTTTCGAGCTACTAAGCGCCAAACATGTGCAGTCTTTCAGATCCGTAAGAGAAGAAGAGGTACGGAATCTTATGGAGTCCATTGGCTCAATGTCTCACAAGGGACTTGCCATCAATTTTAGTGACAGGTGCTGCAGCTTCGTAAATGACGTAGTGTCAAAGGCGGCATTTGGGAAAAAATGCAAAGACCAAAAGGAGTTCCTTTCGCTACTAGACGAATCATCCAAACTTGCTAGTGGGTTTGATCTTCCTGATTTGTTTCCTTCACTCAGTTTTCTTGGGTTCATTACTGGGTCGATCGCTGCTATGAAAGATGTAAAAAGCAAGCTCGGTACGATTCTCGAAAATATCATCAACGATCATAAGATCAAACGATCCAAAAAGGACTTGAAGATCAGTAATACTAGTACTACAGCAGGCAATGACAAAGCAGAGGAGGTGGAGGAGGGGGAGGAGGGAAATTTTGTTGACGTCTTTCTAAAACTTAAGGAGTCCAATAAGGCGGAGTTCAGCTTGACAACCAATCAAATCAAAGATGTCATTCTAGTGAGTCATGTAGGCTTGCTTTGTTGTACTGCAGACATCACTCATCACTTTATAAAAATATACGAAGGGGTTTTATCACAAATGGTTGCTTACGTTTTTGAAACTCATGATTTTGGTCTCGCACATTGAAAATTAATTATTGTCATGCTACGCATTTTGCCCCACACACCAATGTCTTCCTTACGGTCTAACTCAGTAAAAAAAAAAATTTGTTATGTGCAGGACATCTTCGCTGCAGGAAGCGAGACTTCAGCTACAACCTTAGAATGGGTAATGTCAGAGTTGATGAGAAACCCAAGAGTCATGAAAAGGGCTCAAGCTGAAGTGAGACAGTTAGTCCTCCAATTTGAAGGAAAGAAAAGCAAAGTTATTGAAGAAAGAGATGTTCAAAAAATGGACTACTTGAAATTGGTGGTGAAAGAAACTCTAAGGTTACACTCTCCAGCCCCTTTGCTCCCAAGAGAAGCAAGGGACACGGTTCAAATTGGCGGGTTCGAATTACCAGTTAAATCAAAAGTAATTATTAATCTATGGGCAATGGGAAGAGACCCAAAGATATGGGGAGCAGATGCTGAGTGTTTTAAGCCAGAGAGGTTTCAGGGTTCTTCTGTTGACTTTAAGGGTTTTGACTTTGAGTTCACCCCGTTTGGGGCCGGCAGAAGAATGTGTCCAGGCATGTCGTTTGGTGTTACCATGGTTGAACTTGCTCTTGCTGAATTGCTCTACCGATTCGATTGGAAACTGGCGAATGGGATGAATCCAAACGAACTTGATATGACGGAGATCTTTGGAATGAGCTGTAAGAGAAAGAATGCGTTGTACCTAATTGCCACCCCACATTTTACTTCAGTCGATGAGTCAGAGTGACTCGGCGTTTTGTTGCCATGAATGGCCAACAAAGCTAGCACCATTCTGGTGTATGGCTTTAGGTTTGAATTTTTCCTTTACAGAATAAAACATGTTTTCAGTCCACCAGTCTTTGTAACTTTCCACTTCCGTTCCCATATTTTCTAGTGCAACGATTTTCTTCATCCTTGCAGTTTGCAGATTGTTTAAATCCAGGCTTATTTTTCATGTAGTACTTGCGTAATAAGGCATGATTAATGCAATGTTAATTCAATATGTCATCCCTAAGAGCAAGTCCACCAGGAGTGGATTGCCCGGCACCTAGCACCCAAAACAGGTTGGCCCCAGCTAAATCACTCCACCCAACCTAATAGGTTGGCACTCAGCCCAAGCCAGGCAGGAGACCGGCCCAGAATCGACAGACCCACATGCCAGGCCATCTGACGTCAGCCGCCCATCCATGTTGCCAATTTCAACGCCAGTTCTTCCCACAACCTAGAGGACGAGGTTTCAGAAAAATGGGGAGCAAATTTGGGACGGCGACGGTGGTGTTTTTGTGTGTATAGGTGTGTGTGGGTGTAATTTATAATAATATTTTATAAAAATATCAATAATTAATAATATTTTTTTATAAAGTCAGAAATTAAAAATAAAATTATTATGTTTATTATTTTATAATAATAATAATAATATTTTAATAAAATTGACTATTCTATTTTTTGTTAGGGGTGGAGATGCATTTGGCCTATTACTGTTCATTGGGGTCTATCACTGTTCACTGTGTGGATTAAATAGGCTGGGTGCTGGTGCATTTTTTTAAGGGTGGACTTGCTCTAAGATGTAAGCTTGTTATTCAGATATGTATGATCAATAATACATGTACTCGTGAGTGTTCTACTGCTACTCTTCTTGCTTTTCTTCTTCCAAAATTTGTTGTCCATAGCGATTGCCTAAGATGACGAATAAGAAATGAACTTGCTTAGTGTACGACCGGCGTCGGGAATTAGAGGCCAGGGGTAGCTCAGCCTCAAGATTTCACACATTAACAATTAAAGCTATTAGTCAATGACGTGATCACGATCATACTCAATCTGCACTGAATTTGATGATTATTTGGTTTGTTAGGCAGACAAATACAAAAATGATTATGATAACATATTCATCGATCAATGATTCCAACTGATGTTCTTTTATAGTTGTTGCATATGAATAATCAGTTCGTAATAGAATAATAGAATTTTATCTCACTAAGTAAGGTCGATTGTTTGAATCTTAGAACGCTATTACGCTTGATTTTAATAACATAAAAGATGCCATGCATCATACTGTATTAGTGTGAAAAGAGGCTCTTGAAAACAAGTTTAGAGTGTTGGTGGGAGGGGCAAATCATCTATAAATATGCAGATACTGACAAAATTTTAGAGAAAAATCATATTAGATAAGCTCATTTTATACATTATTATTCACAAATATATAAACCAAAGATGTTAGACTTATTACCACTTGTGGTTATGGACAAACAAGTCAGCTGCCTAATTGTAATACCAATCAATTTGACCACATTAAAATTAATCAATTATTGATTGACACTTGAATATGTGCAAGCTATATATTTTATTTGTGTGTTACAACGTAAGTGCACAACGACTTTATACTTATACAATTAGGTAAAATATTGATGAATAAACACTAAATATAATTGAGTAGAGCTAACATACAACCTCACTCCAAAGGTTTTGTCTAGTAGTTGGGGAGGGGGATCCATAAAAATTCATTATGATACGTTGAAAAATAGAAAATTGTACAGGCTAACTTAAGCATCTTGTTTGAAAATCTCTCATGCATTATTATGTGATATTTTAAGAACTTGCTTTGCACATTTGCACTCCAAATACATATATTTTATTTTGTTGTTCCAGTCCAAAACTAGTATTTAAGTTGAGAAGACCTTAAGCGCTTTCAACATAGGGAGTTTTAATAAAAACCCCGCGGTACTGTTCACTTTAACGAAAAACTACATTTTTACACTAAAAAGTTAATCCTGGTACTATTCACTTTACCCTTTATTTTGTCGTTATCATTAAAACTCAAAGTTTTCAAGCCCTTTTCATTAGTTTTCCTTTCAACATATCAATCCAAATTGAAGTGTTTTGATTTGCAAAGCAAAATACCCCAAAGTCGTATGATGGAATTGATCAAAGCTTATTTGGATCAAAATATGCTTCTAATTGACGAAACGCCCTATTTTCCTATTTTCACTTCTGTCCTTGTCTGCATCCTTGTGATTTTTTAAACTGAATTTGATATGAAGAAAAACTTGAATAAGGCAGTCTAATCAAATTAATAATTACACTGTTACAAAAGAACATGCTCAAGTTTACGGTGAGACATCTCTACTCAAATTTACCTCCTTTATTAGATTGGTTAATTAATAATTGGATAGTGTTAAGGAGATTGTATATTTAAATTATATTTTGTAAATTAGATGATGTGATTGTTGATGATTAAATTATTACTTAAGTATTAATTAACGTAATTATTTCTTATTGGTGACAAATCATAGTTTGCAAAATTGATTAAAAAATTGATCAACCTAGCATTATTCTTCATAATTACCACTTGAAAGAGAGAGAGAGAGAGAGAGAGAGAGAGAGATATGAATAAAAAAAGGTCTCCAAATCAATTATTTAAGTTTAAACCCGAAAAAAAAAAAAAACCCAATGGCCCAATTGCCCAATAGACTAGTTCAGAAAAATCAAGGCCCAATATTAGAGGAAGCAAGAATTTCTTAAATTCATACATATTTCTATTGTTTTGTTTATGATAGTTGTGGCATCGCTTCTTCAGTCTCAAGCTCGTCGTCATCCTTTTTCAATGGCAATTTGGGTTCGTCACAGACATTTCCTTGACAATTCGAATTGCGCGCAAGAAAGGAGCTAGGAATACTAGCAAGCTCACCGTCGAGATTTCCTGTGACCTGGCCGCCGAGGTTTACTTCATGAAAGACAGCGTGGCATAAAGGTACAAGGTATTATATATATGTATACAGAGAGGTGTGATTAGATAAATTAAGAATTTGAAGTAGCTTTGGTGATGGTAAGAATAGGGGAGAGTTCAAAATAATATCATATAAGCTCAATTTGTAGATTATTATTAACAAAGTCAAAACCAACTCTAAAAATATATATTTATTATTCTCATTTGCGCCAGGAATCAAATCTAGGACGTGCAGAGCGTAATATGGGCCTAGGATTCATCCCCAACCACTGGGCCTGGAATTCACCCCTAAACACTTTAATATAATTGAGTAGAGTAACAACGAATGACAGTGTTACAATCTGACTCAAAAGATTTTGTTTATTAGTCGGGGAGGGGGTTCCATAATTTGTATCTCTTTCGACATTGGGACTAGTATCATGCTGATTATGTAATTCAAATGGTAGTGTCATTCACATATCTCCTTTTACCTCTCACGTATCTTTTTTAATTTGTGATAAAAAAAAACATAATCATCATGGACGTGTAGCAAGTAAAAAAAGGGGAAAATTGCACAGGCTAACTTAACCATCTAGCTGGAACACACAGGCATCTTGGTTGGAAAATGTCTCCAGCATTATTATCTAGTATTTTATGTACTTGCTTGGCACATTGCACTCCAAATGCATTTATTTTATTTTGTTGTTCCACAGTTGCACTCCCCATGATTATTTATTTTTGTTTTGTTCCAATTCAAAAACTAGCATTTACCTTGAGAAGACCTTAAGCACTTTCAACATATCGATCCAAATTTAAGTGCTTTGATTTGCAAGTAAAGTACCTCATAGTCGTGATGAAATTGATCACAGCTTATCTGGATCAAATTATGGATCTAATTGTCGAAGGGCCCTATTTTCCTGTTTTCATTTCCCTCCTTGTCTGCATCCTGGTGATTTTTTGGAAGCGATCCAGAGCCGAAGGCCTAAACTCACCCCCAGGGCCATGGAAACTGCCGATTATTGGAAACTTGCATCAAATGGTCGGTCCACTGCCACACCACACATTTAGAGACTTAGCCAAGAAACATGGACCCATCATGCACCTTAAACTGGGTCAATTAGAGGCCGTGATTATTTCATCTGCCAAAGCTGCCCAGGAGGTGTTGAAGACTCATGAGCTTGCATTTGCGCAGAGGCCTATTATTTTGGCGACAGAGGTTTTGTCTTTTGGTCAAGGAGGTATTATCTCTGCTCCTTATGGAGATTTGTGGAGATCATTGAGAAAGGTTTGTATGTTCGAGCTACTGAGCGCGAAACGCGTGCAGTCTTTCGGATCCATAAGAGAAGAAGAGGCACAGAATCTTGTTGAGTCCATTGGCTCAATGTCTCACAAGGGACTGGCCATCAATTTTAGTGACAGGTGTTGCAACTTCGTAAATGACGTGGTGTCAAGGGCAGCATTTGGGAAAAAATGCAAAGACCAAACGGAGTTCCTTTCGCTACTAGATGAAGTAAACAAACTTGCTAGTGGATTTGATATTCCTGATTTGTTTCCTTCACTCAGTTTTCTTGGGTTCGTTACTGGGTCGATCCCTGCTTTGAAAGACATACAAAGCAAGCTCGGTAAGATTCTCGAAACTATCATCAATGATCATAAGACCAAAAGATCCAAAAAGGACTTGATGATCAGTAGTACTAGCACTAGTACTACTACAGCAGGCAATGACCAAGCGGAGGAGGGGGAGGAGGAAAATTTTGTCGACGTACTTCTAAAACTTAAAAAGTCCAATAAGGCGGAGTTCAACTTCACTACCAATCAGATAAAAGATATCATTCTGGTAAGTAATGTAGACTTGCTTTGTTGTACTGTAGACATTTCATCTTTGTCGTCATTCATCACTTAATGAAAATATATGAAGGGGTTTTATCACAAATGTTTTTGGAACTCATGATTTTGGTCCCGCGCATTGAAAATCAATTATTGTCATGCTACACATTTTGCCCCACACACCAATGTCGTCCTTACGGTCTAACTCAGTCAAAAAAAATTTGTTATGTGCAGGACATCTTCGCTGCAGCAAGTGAGACTTCAGCTACTACCATAGAATGGGCAATGTCAGAGTTGATGAAAAACCCAAGAATCATGCAGAAGGCTCAAGCTGAAGTGAGACAGTTAGTTGTCCAATTTGAAGGAAAGAAAAGCAAAGTTATTGAAGAAAGAGATGTTAAAAAGTTGGACTACTTGAAATCGGTGGTGAAAGAAACTCTGAGGTTACACTCTCCACTTGCTTTGCTCCCAAGAGAAGCAAGGGACACAGTTCAAGTTGGCGGATATAAATTACCAGTTAAATCAAAAGTAATTATCAATCTATGGGCAATGGGAAGAGACCCAGATATATGGGGGGCAGATTCTGAATGTTTTAAGCCAGAGAGGTTTCATGGCTCTTCTGTTGACTTTAAGGGTTTTGACCTTGAGTTCATTCCATTTGGGGCCGGCAGAAGAATATGTCCAGGCATGTCATTTGGTGTTACCGTGATTGAACTTGCTCTAGCTGAATTGCTCTACCACTTCGATTGGAAACTGGCGAATGGGATGAATCCAGACGAACTTGACATGACGGAGAGTTTAGGACTGACCTGTAAGAGAAAAAATGCTTTGTACCTAACTGCCACCCCACATTTTACTTCACTCGGTAAGTCACAGTGACTTGACGTTTTGTTGCCATGAGTGGCCAACAAAACCAGCACCATTCTGGTCTTTCAGGTATCAATTGTTCATTCACTTCTGTATTCCCTCTTTTACAGGCTAAAACATGTTTTCAGTCCCATCAGCCTTTGCAATGTTCCACTTTCGTTCCTATGTTTTCGAGTGCAACGATTTTCATCCCTGCAGTTTGCAGATTGTTTAAATCCAAGGCTTCTTTTCATTTGTACTTGCGTAACAAGGCATTATTAATGCAATGTTAATTCTTTAATAATAATATGTTATGTATTCCTAAGATGTAAACTTCTTATTCAGGTCAGTAATATATGTACTTGTGTGTGTTCTTTTGGTGAATGCTACTTCACACGTTGATGATATATACTTCATACTTGTGGGTATTCTTTCAAAATTCGTTGTTCACAACGATTGCTTGAGACGACAAATAAGAAATAAACTTGCTTAGATTACGATCTGAATCACCGTTGGGAACCAGAGGCCAAGGGCAGCTCAGCCTCAAGATTTTACACATTAGCAATGTTAAACATAGTTTAAGAATTTTGGATATTATAGATATTGTATTTTAATTTCCACTCATTCAAAATCTGTGCTGAATTTGGACAAATTTTTTAGTACTAGGAACACAAACCACGCAATGCATCATCTCACGTGCAGTGAACGATATGGTTTATATGTCCAATGAAAGACAAATCCGAAGACTTTTTTGTATATGGCCTCACCCAACCCTTTTCGGTTCCACCAAGTAAGACAACCACATGTGCGGCTACCGGACCAAAACCCTCTCGTGGATGTGGGCTTATAGCTTAAGCCCAATGGACTAAGTACAAACGGCCCCAATAAAAAATTAGAACGCACTCGGCAGTGATACCCAATCAGCAGCCTCCAGGATAAGGTTTTCGCTATCTTTTCCTTTTCTCTTCTTTCTTCGTCCAAAGCTATAAGCTTGGCTGTCAACAAATTCACACTCTTCTGTTTACAAAACTTAATAATTTCTCAGAAATGGCGGTTGCGTCCATGAGTTTCAACATAGTCGGAGCTTTCAGAGGGCTGTCTCTCCGCCCAACATCCACCTCCAGCTCGTCCTCCTCCTCCTTCTTCAGAGGCGATTTGGGTTCTCTGCAACTGGGTCCCAAGCTGTCGTTAGCGTCGTCGGGCCCACAGAGACTTCCATTGACGATTCAAAACGCGCACAAGAAAGGAGCTGGGAGTACCAAGAACGGACGTGATTCCAAAGGCCAGAGGCTCGGCGTCAAGATTTACGGCGACCAGGTCGCCAAGGCTGGCTCCATCATTGTCCGCCAGCGTGGCACCAAGGTAACTTCGATTTCACCCCATTTTTCTGAGAAAATTGGTTATTATTATTTTGTGGCATGGTAGGATTTAGGAATAATTAAAAGAATCGGTACTATATTATATTTTTCTTACCCTTTATTTTGTCTGTTAAAATTCAAGGTTTTCAAACATTTTTCATTGGTTTTCTTATAATTAAAACTAATTTGAGAAGGAAATGAACTGTGTCGAACTTGAATTTGGGTACTTGAAGCTAGCGATTGGCAATGGGTCGTGTTCGGGTTTACTTGTTTATATGTGCGTCGTGTTCATTTTGTTTATAAATGCGACTGTATAGAGAGAAAAAAAAAAAAGAGAACGTGTGGAAATCATTTTCATTTTGGCACATGTAGAAATGTAGAATGTTGTTGTGACTTCTGGGTTTGTTTTGGCATCAAATTATCAGTTCCATGCGGGGAAGAATGTGGGGCTCGGCAAGGACCACACCATATTCTCTTTGATTGATGGCATGGTTAAATTTGAGAAGTTTGGACCCGACAAGAAGAAGGTATGATCTGTAGTTCTGAAACCCGTCATGGTTTGTGGTTTGATTGTCTGCGTGTTGTATGCTAACACGAATCGTTGATTTGTATTGTCCGCAGATTAGTGTTTACCCTCGAGAAGTCCAGCCGGAGAACCCCAACAGCTACCGGGTTAAAAAGAGGGAGAACTTCAGGCTACAGCGTGAACGTAAGAAAGCGAGAAAGGAAGGCTACATCCTTCAAAACAAACCCGAGCTACTACTTGCTTCTGCTGGTGCTGCAGATGCCAATCCAGTTTGTTAATTTCTCGATTCTATGTTGAGCAATCTTGCAGTTGCGTTTGCCTTGCTTTTCCTTTTCCCTTTTGTAAAATTTTATAAGAACACTTTCGCCGGAAAATCTCAAGTCATGTATTGAGTTTGCAATTTAGTACCTCTCGTCTAGTGATCAGTTGAGTCTACAAAATCTCACTACGATTCTCCTTTTCGTTCTCTATATGTTCGAAGATGATAGAACAGAAATGAATCTCCAACCCGAAGGGGTCACCGGACACACAGAACTGACCAAAGTAAATAAATAGAGCTAGGCCAAATTTTTGAATTGTAGTGGAACAAGATAAGAGGGTACAATCTCAACTGCTTCAGAAACGTCATTTCAACTAGCTTTGAAGAAACAAATGTCTAAAACACTGATTAACATCACAGTGCCCGCGACGGTAGATCTTGGCCCGCCTTAGCGTTCACTGCCAAATTTTCATCTACTTGAAGGTGCCAAATGACCTGCAGCACAAACATTAAATTTTACCGACGCTTAATTGGCGAAACAATGATCAAGAACCTTAACCTAAGTAGAAATCCTGTGATTCCCTTGATTTACGACTACAAGCATTCCCACGTAATCATACATGATGATCAAACACTCGGAAATTGGAACAATTCGCATGTAAATCTGTATAAAACCAATCACATTCGACTCGCAGAATCCAATCATTCAAGTTACATAAAACAGATGGAACACCGGTGCCAGTGTGCAACTTTCTCAAGCAATGAATTGCCTTCATATACAAAATTAGATTGACTCGGTGTTTTGTTGCCATGAACGGCCAACAAACCAGCTCCATTCTGGTTAATTAGGTATCAATTGTTCCTTCACTTGTGTATTCCCTCTTTTACAGGCTAAAACACGTTTTCAGTCCCATCAGTCTTCGCAATGTCCCACTTTCGTTCCCATATTTTCGAGTGCAATGATTTTCATCCTTTCATGCCTGCAATTTGCAGATTGTTTAAATCTAAGGCTTTAGCGCGCTCTTCCGGTTTTTTCATTTAGTACTTGCGTAATAAGGCATGATTAATGTATAATATGTATCCCTAAGATGTAAACTTGTTATTCAGATCAATAATATATGTACTTGTGTGTGTTCTTTTGGTGAATGCTACTTAGTACGTTGATGATACATACTAATCCTTTATTAATATATGTCAATACTTGTCTTTCCAATATTAAAAATGTCTGAAGCTACAAAATTCCTCTCCCTATTACTATACTGCTACACTTCTTGCTCTTCGTCTTCTTCTTTCAAAATTTGTTGTCCACAACGATTGCCCGAGACGATGAACAAGACATGACTTGGTTTGAGTAAGGTCGGGGTTGGCGTTGGGAAGCAGAGGCCAAAGCCGGCTTGACCTCAAGATTTTACACATTAACAATACTAAAGCTATCGGATCGTGGTCATACTTAATCTTGACTGCTAATTATTCAGTCTATTAGGCAGACAAATATTAGTTAATCACATATCAAAGAATGGTTAATTTGATGCAAATTTCTGATCTTTTTTTTTTTTTTTTTTTTTGAGTAATTAAAACTAAAGTAATACAGAGTCATGTTACACAATCAAGAGTCACCGAATGCAGTTGCTAAAAACATGCTTCCAAGAAAAATATGGCATTCATCAAAAGATTACAAACTCTCGAGACATTTGTTGGGCGAACCGGACTAACTAGTTATCTTCTCTGTAGTCTGGATTCTCTTTCAGGATAACGAACCCTTCCAAGATGGGAGACAGGGGGATATACTTTTCGGTAGCCAGCTCCGCTCTATCACCCGCTGCAAGAAGAACCGGTGTTGAGTGGGTCTGGAAACCCGTGATCGTTTTGGGACGACCAGCCTGGCCAACCACATCAACAGCTTGTCCCACTCGAACAGGGACTGACAGTGGTTTGAGATTCTCGTCCACAGTCAACAACATTCTCGGCTGCATTGCCAAAGTAATAAAGTAGAGAATGTAATGATATTTAGCCAGAATGATGGCTTTCATATCAAGACATGCATGCAGCACGGTAACGATTCCAGCAAGTGCCGTTGGTGATAGCAAGAAGCGATCAGAATGGTATGGATTCAGAGTTAACAAACCCTTTCCTAAATGAACAAGACCTTGAGCAATTCGCACGCAGAAAAGAAGGCTGGCATCTTTGTAGTAATAACTTGAAAGATTGCGAAGCATGCCAGCTATTCTAGCGTTGTTGGTTACCGCACCTAGCAAACCTAAGGAAATCACTGCAGCCATTGCTACTTCTGAATCTGTATCGTGGCTAAGCCTGCTTAATGTGTCCATAACGTTGACCTTTGGATTTGATATGCAAAGGAGACCAGGTGCAATGGAACTGCCCGATGGATATTTTGTTCTCCGTACTGTAAAAGATGCTCTAATGAATGAATCGCCATTTCAACTCCCAATTCTTCAGCCATTGATATCATAGCAACTCCAAGAACTGCGGGTCCCTGGTGAGTTTCATTCTTCTCAAGATGTTGTGAACAATGACCGAGAAGGTTTTGGACCTTAAGAACATTGCCTGTTCCTGCATAAGCACAAGAAAGCAAAGTCATATCACAATGCTTTCTTATTTTTTCATTAAATGTCTTTGAAACTTCGGCAGTGGCCTCCACAATTTCCTGCCTCCCAAGGTACAGAAGTCCAAGGCTGAGGGGAATCAACCGAGCAAGGGGCTCCCCCAACTCGGAGTCACTTCGGTCCATTAGTGCAAATATGATTGCCTGAGCAACCTCTTCATTGTAGGAACCAACGTATACCAACCCCAATGAGATTGCAGTAAATGCAACCACGTCAAGGGGGGCTTTTGCATCATTAAGTATAGGAGTCAGCTTACTACGTATCTGCTCATTCTGAGAACTAGCATATGCAATCCCAAGGCCCATTATAGCACCAATCCGGATAGATGGATCCTCTCTATCAATGTACTCGCCGAGAAGTGCCAGCGCAGGATCACAATCATCCTTGATACCGCAATTAACAATCCCAACCCCTAATAATGCACCGGCAATAACATGGGTATCGTTGCTGTGGAAGTACTTGTCAATTTGGGCGAGTCCAGAGTCAACATCCCACAATAAAATCATACCCAGACTTGCTGCAGCACTGGTCTTCCCATGCTCTTTATTCTTGAAAAGCCAGTTTCCTGAAGAGCCTCCACTTGAGGCATCTGATGGGACTGTCATCAACTTATCCTGACCAAATCCAGCATTTACAAAAGTGTTAACAAATGTTGCAGCCAAGTTCTGTCTTGCTGAATCAACACTAGCACCAGCACTCGCACGGCCATCAAGTAAGTGTGCCTTGTAGATATCCTCTGGAGTTTTGGCCTCCATGACCTCAATATCACGAGCAAGAGTAAGATAACCTTCACTTAGCTTAGTATTGTTGATAATCTCCTGCAATACTTCCCTGTCATCATCCTCCGCAACCATCTCATCATCAAGCTCAAAACTAATACCATGTCGAGCAACGATGTAGCAAAATTGCTTTTTACGAAGCAGATCATCACATGATGTAAAGACGTTCTTTATATTCTGCATGTTATCAAGGAACAGTGCAATCTGAAGTGCATTTGGTATTCTTCAAATTTCATATATATTGTGTATTCTTCAAAGGTATTTTCACCTTCTTCTTCTCTTTTTTTCCTCTGTTTTTGTTTCTAAATTTTTCGGTCTTTGGTAAAGCTTTCATCTTTTGTGTAGCACACCATTTGTGGACTTAATTTTGACTGTTTATAATTTCCTTTCCAAATATCTGATTATGTTTTCAATTTTTTTACTACAACGTGTTAATATTTCTAATTACTAAATCAAATGATCACCATTCTATTTAACAGAAAAAAAAAATTTCCAACGTTAATTATCCTTATCATTCACAAATGTGTGCTTCTCGAGCTTTGTTCTATGCAAATTTTAACGCACTTGACACTCACTTCAGGATCACTGGCATTAATCATATAAGGTGACCAAATTGTTATTATTGATCATTCAATACCTTCTCTCTTTGCTAAGTTTTTTTGGAAAGAAATTGATTTTAATTTTAATTTTATTTAGGCAGGCAAGAGACAAGGAATTGACAAAGCAGAAAGTTTTAGAGAAAGCTAGAAAGCTTCAGGTAATAATCGTGAATGTATTTTGGGTTATTCTTATTTTCATAGGCTCAAAATGCAGTGCTTATTTTGTGGTTGACAATTTTCCTCGAAAGGTATTAAGATATCTTTTTTTGTCATATTTTCCTTGCTTTGTGGTTAATGGTGGGAATAAAACAAGTAAAAAAACTGCATGTTTCAAAGGAAAAAACACACCAGCGCACACTTGGAAATAACTGGAGGTATTGGCAAACCTCACTTTGTACATACATGCTTTTATTCCTGGAAAACCACGACTCCTGAAAATGAAAGCAGCAAGTATGATGTATTGGACTAATATTTTAGTAACATGTTTCTTGCGGTGTTGGAGTTATGCCAGGATGGGTAGTTTATGTTGAATAAGAAGAGTATCCAAGATAACTCTAATGATCCCAAGAAGAAGAAAATAGAGCACACTCTTAAAGAAAGCTCACAAAACAAACTAATTAGCAAAGCTTTTCTTATTTAGCTCTAGGCTTTGTTTTTCCTTGGATGATATACAATACTTGGGGACTTGGGTATTTATAGCAAACCAAATGAAAGCTACACCACACACTTACTTCACCTACAACATCCACCTACTTCACCTACAACCTCCACTTACTTCACCTACAACATCCACCTACTTCACCTACAACCTCCACTTACTTCACCAACCTCACACACTTACTTCACCTACAAATGACATTGATTCTCAACACTCCCCCTCAATGTCAGCTCTCATTCTTTGCACTGTGCTGAGTAAACAGCGAAAAATTTCGAGCTTGCCTGTACTCAAACTTTTTGTGAACAAGTCCGCAACTTGATCATTCGTCTTGACCTGTCTCATCTCAATCTCTTCTTGCAGAACCTTTTCTCTGATAAAGTGGTAATGTACCTCCACATGCTTAATTCTTGCATGAAAGACTGGATTTTCCGCCAAGCGAATGGCCGATTGGTTATCACAGTACAATGGTACTGGAAAATCTACTGGTT